ATACAACATTAATATTATGATAATTGATAACCCTTTGCATACAAACTTAGTTTAATAAAGTTATTGAACTTAAAGGAGATCAAATTTTGTACATTTTCTGCGATTTTGTTGTAAAAGCGTATATATCACCCCAAGAATGAATTATAGACTCGGTGTAGTCGAGTAACTGGTACTACTAGCTTGTGCCTATTCCTTGATGTATTCATTACTTATTTTTGTAAAACTACCTTTATTTTACCATTACATTTTCATAAACGTATTGAGAGACCAATGTTAATACATTAATTTCCTTAAATTTTTGTCTGAGCGACTCTTTAAGTTTTCAATCATAAATTGCTCTTATGGCCCTCTTCTGTAAAACAAATATAATTACAGTGACAGTCGCGTGTCCTCGCTGCGACTGTCACTAGCTGTTTCAACACTTGTAAGATTTCTAATCTCTTTTACCGAATATGCTGTAGAACTAAGTCTGTATGCTAGCTTTGATATGTGGGGGTCCCATGGAAGCTTCGGGTCAAGTGTGAATCCAAGAAAAATGGTTCTGTCGACAAGACTCAGTTCCTCCTCATTTAAAATTACATTGGTATCTTTGACATCTGGAGTTATTGAATTGCATACATTAGTGTCATTTAAATGCAAATTACTATTATCGTTAAACCAACTTACGAATTTAATTATACCGTTATATACTTCGTCATATTTTAGTAATTGTCGTTTTAATTTGATAATTAATGAAGTATTAATAATTTAATAATTATAAGTTAAAATAATTAATGAATTATTTACGTGGTAGAACCATGCTGCAGCTATATTAGTAGTATAGTTGTAGCACGAATGGGTCGGCTCGACCGGGGAAGGACCACGCTCTCACAGAATACCGGCGTCAAATAGCAGTTTAACACTGCTGTGTTTCGTATGGTGAGTGTAGCGAACCGGAGACTCTTTTTACTGGAAAAGAGGCATTCCATCTTAGTCCTCACGGGTGACAACGCATCTGCGTTTTGATTCGCAAACGAAGATAAATGTAGATGTCTATGGGCCACAGCAACCACTTACCATCAGGTGGACTGTGTGCTCGTTTGTCACAATTCCTATAAAAAAAAAGTATCATCAGCATATAATACTATCTATAGCATGGTTATACCCTACTATGTAAGGTAAGTCATTAATATATATACAAGAAACAGATGGACCAAGAATTGAGCCCTGAGGCACACCCATTTGTACTATCAATGTATTCACACCATTAATGACAACTTTTTGCGTTCTGTTACTTTAATATGAAATAAAATTTAAGAGTATCACTTCTTACACCGTAGTATTGAAGTTTCCTGATTAACGTTTCACGGTGAAGACAATCGAAGGCTTTAGAGAGGTCACAAAATATAGATAAAGCATCCTGTGAATTATTCCATGCATTGGAAATATATTTAATTAGCCCAACACCAGCATCAGTTGCGAGCGACCTTTCATGGTAAAGTTCGTATAACCTTTGTCTGCTCTTATGGACTCCTACTGTTTGTCGCCCATTTATTGAATGCCTTGCGACTGTTCAAGGAGAATGTTATATAAGTAAAAGTATTATCAAATTCATTGTAAATAATGTTCCACACAAAAGGAGGATTATTTTGGTATGAAAGTGATGGAAGTTTTTCACTATGTTACTTCAAACTTCTCCAAGCGACGTGCATTTACTGGAACATACACAACTTGTCACTTGACAAATCTACTTGCTTTTTGTGACCTAGTAATAAAACGATGAGTCAAAAAATTGGCTAATAATGGCGTTGTTTTCCAGTACTTATATATTGTTTTATTATAAAGAAGCACTTGTCTATTGACTGAGATAAGCATAGATGAAATAGTAAAAGCGTTGAAAAGTATGAGATTAGGTAAGGCTGCAGGGTATGACAGGATTACGGTCGAGATGTACCGCCTTTTCAATCTGTGCTGGCGAAATGGGCAAGTACCGGGAGACTGGTCCAAAGCCGTAATCGTGCCATTGTATAAGGGAAAAGGGTCACGGCAGGACTGCATAAATTACCGCGGTATAAGCCTTCTCAGCGTCGTCGGTAAATTGTATGCAAAAGTGTTGATTGAAAGGGTTGTGAATGAAACAGACGAGAAAGTATGGGATACACAAGCGGGATTTAGAAAGGGAATGGGATGTACGGATCAGGTCTTTTCCTTGCGGTGCATAGCCGAAAAGTGTTTGGCTAAAAACAAGAAAGTCTACTGCGCGTTCGTAGATCTAGAAAAGGCCTATGATAGAGTGGTGAGGAATGAATTGTGGGCAGCACTGTCCGTGAACGGTGTGAGCAGTATTCTCATACGAGCATTGCAATCTCTGTATAGGGATTCTAGTGCTTGTGTAAGGATAAACGGGGTATACACTGCATGGTTCAATATCGAAAAAGGTGATAGACAGGGATGTGTAGAGTCACCGTGGCTGTTTAATCTGTTCCTGGACAATTGTTTGACAAATTTAAAAGAGAATGAAAGTGGGTTGAGAATGAATGAGTTACTCGTCAAATGTTTTCTCTATGAGATGACCAAGTATTACTTGCGTCTTCGGCCGAGGAGTTGCAGGAGATGGTAACTGCTATGAGTGGAGCTTTTGTTAGAAAGGGAATGAAGATGAATGTAAGGAAGACGAAAGTGATGGTGTTTGAAAAAGATGAGTGATGGTGTTTGAAAAAGATGAGGCAGTGACAGACTGCAATATCGTGATTGAAGATGAACAAATTGAACAGGTGAAAGAGTTTGTGTATCTAGGTTTACAAGAGATGGAAAGTGTGAGAGTGATATCGAAAGAAGAGTGAATGCAGGAAACATGGTGAATAGAGCTTTGCACTCCTTTATGAGCAGTCAGAAGGTGTCTAACAAGGCTTGTTTGGCTGTGCATGAGGGAGGGTTGGTTTCGACACTCATGTACGGAAGTGAAAGTTGGGTATGGCAGAAGAAACATGAAAGCAGAATAAATGCAGTTGAGATGAGAGCATTAAGAAGTATGATAGGAGTTAAAACTGAGTGACAGGATAAGAAATAGTGAGATAAGGAAACGTTGTGGTCTGAAAGAAGAAGTAGTGACAAAAAATTGAGAAAGGTATGCTGAGATGGTTTGGCCATGTCGAGAGAATGAATGAAGAACGATTGACGAAAAAAGTGTATAAGGCGAGTGTGAATGAAAGTGTTGGAAGAGGTAGACCTAGGCGGACATTTCTAGACCAAATCAGGGACGTCTTGAAAAAAGGCCAGATCAAGAGTACCCTAAGCCGTACAGCATGTATGAAGGGAAAAATGAAAGTGGACGAAGCGAAACAAGTATGTAAGGATCGTAGCAAGTGGAAAGAAGTGGTCTCTGCCTACCCTTACGGGAAAGAGGCGTGATTATATGTATATGTATGTACTTGTCTATTTTTTAAGTTGTATGTTTAAGTTATCGGAAGACAGTGAACAGTTAATGTTAAAAAATATATAAAGACAATTTTTATTTTTACGCTTACATTCACACGGTATGCATATATTTTTGAATTTTTAAAGCATTATATGTTTCTTTTAATAGTAATAACAAAACATTAAGAGTATTGCCTACGTTAAAATTCAAAAACGGATTTCTCTTTACCTGTTCAATAATAATTGAACTAAACGTTCGTGACTCATTTTCAAGTCAACATCGCGTATTTTTCCATTAATAATTTTCACATTAAAAGGGAGTAGCAGGATTTTGGCGTTTTGCTACTAAGCCGAGAATTATTTTTACGATAATCTGCCACCAACGTTGCGTCTTTATTAAAAAAGTTTCTTAGTGCCTATTAGTCATAATGTCACGCAGTTTGGTTAATGAATTATAACATAGTAATGTCATGTTTCCTATAAATGCCAACAGCTTTATCAAGGTCAAAATAAAAAAAAATTGTATCATATTTCGGCCTAACTTATCGAATAGTGTAAATGTTATGTTTAAAAGTAGTATCAAGGTAGGTTGCAGCTATGAAATTATCGTTTTGTTGAAATGACCACTTTGAACAGTAACAACTATAGATAGATCTTTAAATATATAAATTATCTATAAGGTATACGTATTAATATTTTTTTCAAAATTAGTTTGTTACTTTGGTTTCGTTTTTCTACATTACTGTCGTTTTTTAATTATTTTTTATGAGTTCCGACGTGGAATCAATACGTCTCAAACTACCTAAAAATCAAGAAGACGTAAGACGGATTACTAAATCTAGCTATCTGGTGGCATAGTTACTGCTGACCGTTTCTGTCAAGAATTGCAAATGATCGTTGAGAAGCTGGCACTCAAACAACCCAGGTTAGGGAACTGCTCTTAGCCTCTCTTCATGATAACTTCCGGCCACTTACTGCACATCAGTCGTGGGCAAAATTAACAGAGTTAAAACTACAATTTCTCAGCCACCATATTCTCTCGTCCTTGCCCCAATAAACTTACACTTTTTTCGAAGTTTAGGTGACTTTTTGATAGACAAAACTTAGGTGATTTTTTATTTCAATTTTCCCATACAGATAGCAATTTTATAGATAAATACATAATATTTAAAAAAATACCCCAGTTTCTTTTCTTTCCGATTCTTCCTTTTCGACCTTGTAGTAAATTTAAAAAAACCTTGATTTGGGACTAAAGCGAATATAATAGACTTTATAAAGACAAAAACCAAACTGACCCAAAAGACCTGTATAGAGATACAGTTAAGTTAAGCATTATACCTGACAGGTGCAAGGAGTAGGTAGGTATAACAACAAACCTTCGTTATAGCTCGGTGCGTGTTTCCTTCGAAGTTATAACGAACAAACAAAGTTTATTGATTCATTATTTATTTTCTTAAATTTCAGTTCATTTAGTTGAGATATAAATCGAATACTAACATAAGTTTATTGTTTTAATGTCTAATTTTTTAATTCCTCGTGAATATAAGAGATGTAGGTACAAAGCGGCATGCTGTGCATTCTTTAATTTTTTTAAAACATCATACCGAAGAGGAAGCCTGCTGTGTCTCCACTGAACCTGACGCATACCACCATGGCTGTTGTGGAGACTCCTCCCTTGCATTCGAGTTGGTCATCAAGCGATAATCAAAATTAGGCGACGAGTTGTCGCCGGTGTTGTTTGAAAATCCACTAGTCATTTTATAAGTGTAGAGCTGATGTGTCGTCGCAGCTGTGCTCCTGGCTATTTCTTCATTTAATTGTTGCTGGTGCTGCAGTTCACCTGAACCGCCCGGCCACCACGAGGCATCGTCGCGCGCACCCCAAGCGCCCCCCGTCGAGCCCCGTTCCCCCATATCACAATCCCCGCTTTCGGCTAACCAGTTTTCTTTATGCCACTTCAATTATTCTATAATGTAGATTGTGTAACACTTATTAAAACCATATCCCTTTCTCCACTGCACAAAATTAATTAACGTTACATTAATAACGGACAATGTTTTCACATAAAAGCTGTTGCACTAAAGCACAGAATACTTTTTATCACAAAGACTCTATATGACTACGTGTGCCGTAACATTTTTAACTTATATTACAACGATTGAAAACACAAATACACAACTTTTTCGTGTTGTTATATGTTAAAAGCTGCCGGCTGTAAGTTCAACACCACGCGCGTACGTTTTGTCTTCGTTCGTGCTTAAGTCAATACAGTTGGCAACGCCGCACACCTAGACGCTAAACAAGTGCACCGTGGCGCCCCCAACGCGCAGCGGGCTCCGGCAGAACACTCGAAATGTACACGAGAATAGTCCGAACATGCGCCGAATATTCACGAAGTGGCAACATTCCCGTCCGGTAACCGGTCAATAAGACGATTAGCGCAGAGCTACAGCAATCCGCGTTCATACCAAAATTCTTTTGTTTATGTTTGAAGTAAATGGATAAATAAACTATGATTGTGTATGATGATTTAAAAAAATGGCATTGTAAGAATATCCACTACTCTATATCGTCCAGAGGGTATCGTAAGAGGCGACAGAGAAACAGGAGATGGGCAGTAGTACCTTCCGGATAATAACTGAAAATAATAAAAAACTGCGATTGCCAACCCGACTGCCAAGCGTGGCAACTATGGCGAAATTCCCACTATGAGGCAATCTATGGGTGAAGCCTATGTTCAGCAATGGACTTTTATAGGCTGTAATGGATGGATGGATGGATTTAAAAAATATATATTATATTATATAATATATTAAATATTAAGTAATTTAACGGACCATTTCTGGCTAAATAACAATTTCCATAAACTTAAAAAAGAATAAACGCTGCTATACAGCTTTTTAAAAATGAATGATTTTATAGCGACTTTTATAGCGATTTTATAGGACAGAGGTTTTTTTTCGAACCAGTGGTAATTATACAAAAGAGTGACTTTCAATAAGTATTATTTATAATCTATATTGAATAAAAAAGTTTCTGTTTCTGTTTCTGTTAGCAGCAAAATTAATGACTAGATTTGAGATAAACTGATAAACTGCGTTTGACAATCCATCAGAGAAGCATGGCAACCATAGAAAATTGTATGATAAACAAATTTGAGTACTTAGTAATAGTGATGATGGTGATGATGATGATGATGATAGTTATAAATAACGAGTAGTAATAAATAATGAGTTAGTAGCCACAAGCCTGCTACGAAGTTTAATAAAATAACTCACCGAAGACATGACTTACGAAAAATTAAGTTTGCGAGCTGAAAACTATTTTGTTGCTGACATCACGTTCACGACAATTTTACCCAAACCTACAACATAAAACATTTTTCTTTAAATTCTTTGATATAAGGATCAAGTTTCATAGTATACTGAACTGAATAATCTGACAGCTCGGAGCGCAGTGGATAGTGGGTTCCAATCCCGCACGGGCAAGTGTTTGTATGGTCTACAAATGTTTGTACCGCATCTGTATGTTTGTCCACGTCCATTTATGTATGTGAAACGCCTTCATTGTTAAGCAGTGAAATCATACTCGTAATGTACGGGTAAAGTTTTTTAAAAGACAAAAGATTGTGTTCCTTGGGCAGCTTCCACTACATCGGCATCCCTGTTATAAAAGTCAAATTTTGTCAGTACAATCTTGTTATATGATAATAAGCTTGGGTGAGGGAAGTCTCCAATATACGATAACATTATCCATTCAGAACACAAAAAAAAGGTTAAATATACTTACATGTACGATTATTAGATTTAATATAACTGAAAACTGAGGTAGTAGCTTTATATAAGCTATAAAAATGCAACCATCCTAGGAAGAAACTGTACAATCATTAAAAAACCTAACGAGCTTGTATTCAAGATGATACCTTTTTTAAAGAAGTAAAGGTTACAAACAAATAAACGTGGTAAGCTGATGGTAAATGGATATTGTGGTTCATAGACACCTACATACTCGTATATCTATCATCGACCAAACGTTAAAATGCAGATGCGTTGTCACCCAGAGGGCTAAATATGAAATGCTTCGTTACCAGTAACACGGGTATCCGATTACCTACACTCACCATAGGAAACACAGCAGCATTTTGCTATTCTGTGAGAGCATGGTCCTCTCTCGGTCGAGCCGAACCATTCGTGTTACAACCACAATACATCTGCTTTATACAACATGGCTCTACCACAGCCCATACACAATAATTAATATCTAATAATAATAAATGCTTAAAAATTGCTGCCTAATACAAAATTTAGGTGAGGAGGTGCGGCAGGGCTGATGGGAGTGATTGTGATTGAACATATTTTAATAGATTCTACATTATTATAATTTACCTAATTCTAATTCCTACGTACTACTAAACAATAATAAAATATATTTTTTTCGGTTTATAATATATTTTTTTAAGTGATTGAGTCATTTGGACATGATTCGCTTTCAGTTTAAAATTTTATGTACTTCCTGTAAACATTCCATTCTAAGTGCCCGTTAGAACTTCGACCCATCGACTGCTCTTTCTTCGTAAAGAAATTAAGATAAGGTCCTAAAATGGTACCTTCCGGAGGTACAAGCACCCCATTTAAGAATAATTGAAAATTAACGCGTTTGAAGTGTAAGTTGTTATAAACTAAATTAAGTACTACCCAATATCATCAACAATGAAGGTGTATATAATAATACAAATTCAAACAACATTTTGCTTATATGTAAGATCTTTTAGTGTCAGTATGTAACAGATACCGCAATAGCATGTAAAATGGAAGCCAAAAATGTCGTAACATAGGTACATTTTCTCCGCAATTTTGAGGAAGATCTTACTTGTAGAATAAAGAACTTTTAAAATATTTAAAATATAATATTTTTAATTTTCTCAGGCATCTTACGAGTTTAAGTTTTGCATACAAGATATATTTCTGAATGAGTGTTTATTTAAATATATTTTTTTATATTTCAAAATTAACTTAAGGCAAAGATATTTTTCGTTCAGTGTATTCCTCTTAATTATTATCATTTGCTTTGGCGTTAGCGACAAGTTAGTTAACATTCCATAATAAAACCCTATACTCTTCTTCTATTTACAAATGGTTCAGTAGTTCAACACAGGTCGATCTAATACCATTGATGATCTATGTGGGTCGTGTGGCATGTAACCTTCACGAAGAGGCGAAATATTTTTTTATTCTAAGTATAATCGAAATAACAAACGTGCCTGAAAGTACCACTGGCCACTGCTGCCTATGGACACCTGCATCTAACTTGAAACAGGCTACAATTACATGTGTGTCACCTCTGTGTACTAAATTTTTTTAGCTTTCATTTAATTATTTTTTCATACTGGCTATCTTATTTTTCTAACTGGAACATGGCAGTGAGAGGTAAAATGGTGGTATTTCCGTTACGGCAATGTATAAAATTATTTTTAGTTTAATTCAATTCCAAATTTCTTATTACGGAACATTATTTTAATTACAGAAACTAAATCGTCTAATTGACAGCCTTAATAATTTTAACCTCAAAAATAATATTGCTACTTTTATTATAGCTCTAAACATACGGCAATGAAAGCACACCGTTCGATGTAATTTGTTGACGGCGATGAATATATACGGAATCAACAGAACTTAAAAACAAATCAAAAATATTTTGATCTCCTGTAAATAGGCTTTCAAATAGCCGCATCGATATTAACGATGTAGCAGCGTCAATAGTAGTCGCACAATTCAGCGAAGAATCAAAGAGAACACCGACCAAGACCACGTCGAACTAGTATCGTTCTTCTAAAAGCGTCGTTTGAATTTACATTGTGTATCGTGTGAGTTGACTATAATCATTTTTAAATGTAGTATGACAGGTCATATTACTTAAGCAGGGTATTCATTAATTAGCAAATTATTACATTGCATTGCATTATATTCCTCCAAAGCATTTTCCTATACTTACTTCTTTTCGAAATCCACCTGCTACACAAAGGTAAAAAACTTTATGTATCGCTCATTATTTAAAAAATACCAAGTGAGTCGGCGGACACGCGATAAAATAAGGTAGTTAATTATAGGTAACTAGTACACGATATATAGACATTAACACGTTTCAGATTATTTTTCTCTGTGATCGTGATTCTTAGTCACAGCTAAAATAAATATTAAATATTCAATATCGAATCGTGGTAATTTAAGCATGTGTTGCTATATCAAAAGCGTTGCAATGATTTTTCCTCAGCCTTACGTTTTTCCCCATAAGTATAAAAACAGCTTAGTATTCAGATAAATCGTCGATACTTCGCATTAATAATAAGTACTACTTTCCTTAAAATCTACACATTAGATGTTATGTTATAATTTTACTATCTTTATCTTTGTATATAAAAATTACGTGTCACATTGTTTGTCCGCGATGAACTCCTAAACTACTGATTTCAATGTAATCTTGCACACTGTGTGCAGTTGCAGTGCAGTGCAGTCCAACTTGAGAGATAGCATAATTTTTATCCCGACAAGTGACCCTCAATATTTTTTATTGCGAATTTAAGGATTTTTTATAACACAAAAGGTCGTCTACAGAACGTCTGCCTGATGTTTGTTTGTTTATAGCTCAATCGAGCAAAAGCTACAGAGTAGATTTTGATGAAACTGGGCAATATTATAGATTATGAACAAGGATAGAACATATTAAGCTTTATTTTATTTAGAAAAAAAAGTCTTAGTCTATCTATAAATAATATTAATAGGAAGATAACATTTCATCAAATGTATCTGTGTCATGATGATGTTAACTTTTACACGCGATGAATTTCAAATGTCGCTTAAAACCGAACTAATCTTCTAGTGGACAGCTGGAGTAGGAAATTTCAGCACAGTCGACTAGCTTTAAGAGATGGAGAAAGAAATGACGGTTTTTAGAGAAGGAAACGTGCTAGCGGTGAAGAAATCAAATGAACAGAGGCGAATTACGCATGAAGAGATTTAGAACATATTTTAGATTGTATCGAGTGGTGTTCAAGAGACTTCACACCAGTAACTTCGCGTGAGAAGGATAGTTTTGCTTTCGGTCCGTACAGCGTTACTAATGCTTAGAAACGTGGAATGGTGCCGTGACGTAGATACTAAATTTGGAGCAGACTTGTCTCAGCGTGTTTACATTATTACAAGGATGAAACTGGCTTTATCAATACGATCCAGAAACAAAGCGCCAGTCGACGATTAGGCTATTTCAAAATGAGCGAACGCCTACTATAGTGAAGCGATCGAGAAGCGCAGGAAGATTTTGATCGCTAGTTATTTTTTTGACTTTGATGGAGTGTCTGGTGCCAATACATACGATTTACGAAATCAAGCACCAGTAGCACCAGTGCCAAATGATATATACCAAATGCTTGGTGTTCAGTCGCTTGTTGCTTACATAAGCAACACTGTTATAAGCAACAAGCGACTGAACACGGGGATTCGCGGTGTCTGTGGCGATCTGAAAAGTATTTTGAAAATTGGTTCAGACGCATGAAACTTTGTATAGAAATTAGTGGAGAGTTCTTTATACATATAAATGGCATTCCGTGAACATTTATAAATGCCACGAACTCGCAGATTAAGATAGTGATTGTGTACAAGCTTCTGAAAAACAGATTAAAGACTGAGCGAAATCAGAAAATTCGAATAAGGATAGGAGGGAAGTTTTAGCGTGAACTTACCCGCAGAGATTACTACTCCTGAATTACTGTTAAAATAATGGTTTGTAGGGGAATTCGATACGTAAAAAGGTGCCATTTTTAGTATTAATTACCCGCTTTTGTTAACTTTCGATAGAAACGATGAAACAACTCCCGACACGCACGTATCTATCCATGTGTCTGTCTGTGGCGTCGTAGCACTGTAACGATAAACTGATTTTGTTTTTTTTTTATGTTTGGAAGGTGACTTGATCGAGTCTTCTTAGCCGGGATTTAAAAAAAAATCTATTCAGCCGTTTTAAGTATATCAGCCCTTTTCTAGTTGATGAAGGGATAACAGTAACTACCACAGATCTGATCTTCCTTTTGGTATCCTTCTTCAATGACATTGCAAGAACTTGATAACCTTGGCCTTAACATGAGATGTTGGATACCCAAATCCTCACCAACTTAAAGCAGAGGTAGCGTGTCGTGTTTGGGCTCATTGAATGGCGGTGGCCAGGGTCTGATGATGGAACATGAAAGAGATATGAGCATAAATTGGTGATGATTCCAATCTACTTTCACTAGATATAAAATTTTGTTATACGACGTAGTACCGTTTGTGGGGAGAGATAGGTGTATTAAATGTGGTAAGTGAATAAAATAATAGAGGAGTGATTTTTATTACATTTTTGAAGTTGTTTTTGTGTCGGAGTTTTTTTTTTTGTTTTGGTGTCTTGAGATACTCTCGCCTTTGACTTTCTGAAGGGTTAAGTTATCGTCCGAGCTCCCAAAAGCTTTGCAAGATTTTTTTATGGTGAAAAATTTTATGAATAAATTTTTATGAAATATAACTATTAATTTTAAAACTTGGAAGTGGCAATGTACAAATAGTAAGGTACGTTGGGGTAATACCGGACGGATTTTCGAATAGTTGGAAGAGTCTGCCAAAAACTTTAATTTCTCGACATTCGTATACGTCAGATTTATGGAACATGGAGCAAACCGTTAATCGTTAAACGTAGTTTAGCTCTGAGAATCTTTTGCTTGTGTAAACTCAACGGTTTCTGCTTTAAAGGTGTGCGAAAACTAGACACACTTTTTTATATGCATAATGAAAAATTGGCCATTAAGGGGTAAGACCGGACTTAAATTTAAAACCACTTCTACTGCTTAGAGAAAAAAGTTTATAAAAGAGATTTATCCTATCTTTAACGCTCAAAAACATATTTCAATATGATCTATGAATTACTAGAAACATAAATGTTCGAAACGATTTTCTCTTTTTTTGTTTCTTGCCATCCGATCTTATCCCTGATATAAAGAAATTGTAATTTTATGTTTCTCAAACTTTGTTATGACATAAGATGGAATTACTCAATATAAGAGAAAGATCGGATGCATTTGATTTTATATGGGAAAAAAAATAACAGTAAGGACTGGCAAAATGCCCTGGGATAATGCTGGAGTTAAGGAAGATATAAATATTTTAACAAAGCGGCATTTATTATTATAAATTATTTTTTAAATAATTATTATAAATTACATTTTGGTTTGTAATAGAGGATATATATAGATGTCTATGGGCCGCAGCAATCACTTAACATCAGGTGGACTGTGTGCTCCTTTGTCACCCTTATCCTATAAAAAAATGTATTTTAATGTGTACTTAAAAGTAATAAAACCATCGTATTGTTTTATTACTTTTAAATATACAGACTTGCTAACGAGACTGAGTCCCATAGTCACTTGAGTAATCAACGAAAAAATATACACGACCAATGAAAGTTTAACAACCACTGCCATATTTGTAACAGGCAAAGATCGGATAATATTCATCCGATCTTCACTCACGAGGGGAAACATCGGATCTCGGCCTACAGCGATCTTACCCCTGCATGGACCAGCTTTATTTAGCTATAACTTCATAAAAATTAGTATTCACACAAAATAATAACAAAAGAAGCCATATTCTCGCTAAAAATCGTAAATAAAAGTGATAGGGAAAGATCGGATGGACAAAAATAATACAAAAATTACATTGTTTTATAAAATGCCACGCAGCACAGGTCCCACTTGCCGGAGTGACTGGCGCGAACTGAGGGTCGGGGCAGGATGAAATGGCGTCGTGTAGCATATTGTTAGCTTTTCAAAATATAGCATAATTCGCCGGGAATTTGAATCCTACGGTCTTGCCCCATAACCGATCTTACCCCAACGTACCTTACGAGCTCATAATCGGAGTTTTGGCGGGAAATTGACCGGCGGCGGTTTGCTGCTCCTGTATTATTGTTTAAATAATGGTTTGAAGTGGACTTTGATATGTAAAAGTGTTGCGATTTTGTGTATTAAGTGTCTACGCATGTGAACTATTAGTGGAAACAGTGAAACAAGTGCTCTGATGGTGATGGATTCTCAAGATAAGCTGTTTGTTTGCATAGGCACCTTTAGATACCATCGCCAACTATCAGCTGTCTGCTGGATCAAGTTGCCGCCAAAATCTCCCAAGAACTGCACAATGTGACGCATCAACATATTGTGAAGCAGTATACTATGAAGGAGTGGGGAAATTACAATAAACCGAATAAAAATACTTAAGACTTAGCCTAAAGGTCTAGATACCAGGCCATAAACTCCAAAAAAAAAAAGAGCTCATAATCACGGAGAAACAAAAACACTATTCTCGAGATTGACAATTGACATTTGCCCTTGACAAATTAATTCAGAAAACAAATTGTACTTAACAATTAATTTATAATTTTTTATTTAAAAAGCGGAGAATGCAGGTATATAATACATAATGTACAAAAACGTTTAATTTATAATGAGTTAAAAATCTATTTGCAATATTATTCCCACAGTTATCTAATCACCAAAATAAACAAATCGATAACAATTATACATGAATACAATGTTACTATCTAAACAAACTTCTCAAATCTCAAACATAACCTAACAGCTTCTTAAGTACCTACCTAATATTTTTTATAAACGGTTGTGGTTATATTTTAATAAATAGGTCACGTTTGTTGACAAACATATGGATTAATTCTACACCGTATAGGTAAAATAATAAAGGTTATAGGTAGGTTATTCAAACAAGCTGTAACGTAGTATTATACACAAATTAATATCTATGATGAATAGTACTACTCACCTAGGCTACTGTTTTGTATATATAGTGTCACTTTGCTTCGAAACCCGGCAGCCATTTGCTTACAAAATAGATGGTAAAACTATAAATATCATATTTTGACATAACACTAGTTATATTTGAAACGTGTATAAGCTATTTTATATTACACAGAAATACTCTGAGGCTATTACTATTAGAGGGAAAATTAAACTCACCGATCATATACTTATTGCAATCGGGCACACGATTTCAGCGCTTATTACGTAGGGAACTTCGCGTTTGTCGTAAATCCGTAATCATAATCACAATGAATACATGACATGAGCAAACGATGACAGCGGCAACTTTTTTCGATTGGCTTAGTTTAAATATCCCGCCACTTAGTGACCAATCAGCAGCTTTGAAATCGCTTTATTTTTTGTTTATACTTAACTATAGCTACGCTGTCAGTGTCATATAGACTGCATTGCATCCCTGAACACGAATCACGAAAAGCGAACACTATCATACACACATGGAACAGTTTTTACTTCAAAGTTCAAACCTTCAAAGACTCCGATTGCATGTGTTATACTTCACTGCTTATGTGTGCGTTTACTACAATTGTGTTGTGTTAGGTGACGGAGCGGGACGTTTACTCGAATTGCGATCGGCGGAAAATAATTATATTTCGTAGTAAAGTAGTTAAAATGCTGTCTGAAAGTTGATAAATATCATTGGGTTTAAAATAACGAGTGAAAGAAATAACAGTTTAAGCCAAGGAAATATACTGTAATTTGTGAACCTATTGTGAAGTGGTATTATGTGTCCACATTGACCGAAGTGCAATAAGTTTTAAATACTTTTCACTGAATACAGTTTTAAATCTCGTTAGCCTTTAGTATTACTAAGTTCTGCAAAAATGATTTGTGTCATAACGTTCCATAACCTCAATTTCTATTGTGGGGCTTTGTGACTAGGTACGTCGATTTATTTATCATCGCCAAGTGCGAGATCTGCTGAAGAAGTATAATTTATCTGTTATATATGATTCAACGCGAGTATCAAATGAACAACGGGTTCAGCACAGGAGAAGAAGATTCTAGAGGTAATTCTGACCAAATATGTTGCCTTGTGGATGACGGCGATCGCTGTAGGCGACCCGCTGGCAACGCCTCATACAGCAAGCGCGTTCAAAAGACAGTTGCTCAAAGGAGGCTCAAACTAAACATTGATCATCAAGTAAGTACGAAACAGTCTTTTCCAGTTATAAATACAAACTAAACTGATCATTGGGGGCACGTATTCATAGTTTGCTTTGTGAGCTCCTATTTGAGTCTATTCAATTATGATTTTGACTTGAATTAATATTTACTTAGAACTAATTTAAAATTCCTTGTATCTTTAAAATGCCACCTGTTCACTGTTATATCAAATTATTTACTGATTTATAGGCAAGGCATACTTACATCTGTGATTATCATAAAAATATGATACAATGTGCAAGAACAAAACAAAGAAGGCCTAAAGATTCTGAGGATGACAGTAATGAGGCAGAAATGGATTGTCCAGAGATAGACTGGTACCAACTACAAGTAAATACACTTAGGCGTTACAAAAGACATTACAAGGTACCAACAAGGCCGGGATTAAATAAAGCTCAATTAGCTGATGTAAGTTTATTTATTTCATTATAAAATTTCGTATTTTTTTTATAAATTGTAATATTTTAGTATCCTTTCTTTCCTTTACAGGCTATCCAAAAACATTTTAAGTCATTGCCCGTAAATGAGAAAGAGATTATGACTTATTTCATTTATATGGTGAAAACAAATGGAAACAAATTAGATCAGAAAAATGGAATGAATTCAGACTCATTGTAGATATTTCATTGTTTGTGAAAAAAGTGTATAATTTTACTTTAGTCATAGGTTTGTATCTTCCTAAATTTTCAATCGTTTTAGAATACCTAAATTGAATACTTCCTTTAAAATCACTATACAAATAATTGCTATGGCACTGTGGTGCAATTAACTGTACTTTTACTTTTTTATATATTGAAAAATTTAAATGAACTTAGTATTGAATATTAATCCATGTTTTATTTCCTTAATGTGTAGTTAGCAAATTATTGTCTTATGTAGTAAGTATGCTCCAATTCTCACAGTATCAAATATTATGATTGTAAATTGATGAGGGAAATGCAATGCTAATATAAATAATAATTATAGCTATCAAATAGAAATATTATTTAATAACATTAAACTGTAGAATGTAATATTTATTACATTTGAATTTAACAAATGTGTGTCAATATATCAATCTTCCTCTGACCCTGATGAAATTTCTATCCATGATGAGGCTCCTTTTTGTGCTATGATTTCTGCAGTCTGAGGTAGTGATGGCACAACTGTAATAGACAACATATTATTATGCATTATAAAACAATTTACATAAACTCAAAATAAAAGATTTTTTTCTTCGTGTAATCAATCTTAAGGCTCTAATGATTCAAGTGTAAGTATATAATTGAAAACAGCAGTTATAACTTCAATCACCAATAAGCACAAATTGCCATCTACCGAAGAAAATTTTAACCTGGAGCAGCAACATGTTTAAAAAAACATACAATAATATTGTAATCTATGGATATTACGTCAGTGTTTGTGCTAGAAGCGTGAGAAATAATGTTACAATTTAACTGTAGATTTATATATTTGATTAGTCTGAAATTTTATGAGGTGCCATGTAGTGGCAGCGTAATTCATTCCCCAATATCATTGCATGGTTGTGGTAAAAGGCGACAGAGGGAAAAGAAACAGGAGATGAACAGCAACGTCTTCCTGACAGAAAACCCAAAATAATTAAAAAAATGTAGTTGCCAACTTGCCTGCCAAGCGTGTCAACCATGGCAAATATCCTATTATGAGGCAATTCATGGATAATGCCTGTGTTCAGCAGTAAAAGTAAAAAAAATATTTATTTAGATCACAATCATTCTTAACCAAATAGCAAGGACTTAATTCATCATCGGCTCATAAAAGTCCTCTGCTGGACATGGGTCTGTCCCATTGTAGATAGGATTTGTTGTAGACATGATGTGTCATTCATTCCTTTCTAGTGACCCGACCATTCAGGTATTGATTTGTCTTACGAACCGGGTCATTCAAATGGATCATTTCTAGTTTCAGTACTTCGTGATCTGTGTCTCTGTCGGTCGTCGGATATGACTATACTCTGATCGTATGTCCTGTCAATTGTTTGATCCGAAATGTTAAAAAAGCCAAAAATTGCAATCATCAATACATTTATGCAACCCGTGTCAAATGAAAGAATCATTCACAATTGTTGTGACATGTTTAATTTGTAGATGATCACATTGCCAATATATCGCACCCTTGACACTACTGTCCATTTAAGGTCAAGGAGGGGTATTTTATGTTGTTAACAGGAAAGTTAGGATTTTTTCTGGTGTTTCTCACAGTTGACTCTCACCAATACCCATAAGACGAAATATGGTCTTTGTTTTCTTTTCGCCGCTACCACACAGCATTACATTCAAGGATCACTAATAATTTATGTTAAAAATTAGTATGAATTGCTTTGTGACATTTCTTGAGAAGAGATTTGTAGCATTGTGTTTGTACTTGTGAAAATAAAATATATTAGGAATGTAAGGAAGCATAACTTTGCCGACATAATGACTATTATATATACTTAACATTGTTGAATCAAAGTTAATATTCTATATCCATTAAGAATTATCATTACATAAGCAAAGTAATTGTAGTTTCACTTTTGACAGTTTTTTGTTTAGAAAGCAGTTTATTTAAATTATTTGCATGTAGTCTAGTATGCTTATCATTTTGTAAGATGAGGCCTGCAGTTGAAAATAGATGTTATAAGGCAATGTCAAATCCAAATCTCTTTTGAATGTGGGGTAACAATCTTACGCTCCCCAGATGTCGTTAGTTAGTGTCATTGTTCATTGAAAATTTGCGTTTTAAATAAAAGATTTTCGTATTCTTGTGTATGTATGGATTAGTATCAATACACACAATTTACAGTCTCATAATTTGAATATGACATTCCACTGTTTAGTTACCTCCGTTGAGTTAATAGTGGAGGTTGAATTTAATAAGAGCTTTAAATAAAAAAAATATTTACAACTTTCACTTGAATACAGTCACTAGTATAGAAATTTACATAATACTGCTAAACATAAATAATAAAAAGTTAGTTTCTGTATTAGTTTACACTCATATTTTTAAATAAAGTGAAAATAATTACCATCGTATTTACTTGGTTCTGGTTTTTGGTCTTCATCATCCTCCATTTCCTCATCTTGAGACATTTCAATGTCATCCACATTATAATTTTTAAGACAAATACTTAAATCTCTCTTACTTAAAGACAACATATGCTCCGTAGTTATTATATCAGAAAAGTTTTTCTTTACCCTTTTTTGTCTGCAAATAAAAGTCTAATTTAAATGTTAAAATTAAAAATCGGAAGTATTAAGCTATATTTGTACAATAGAGCTTCTTCGTGTCATCCGTAACATTTAGGAAGAGATAAAAAGTTCTCGCTATAGAGCGGAAACTGGGAAAAAATTTAAATTTCCTTTGAGAAACGTCCTTAATTAATCTTGTTATAATGGGGTCCCACAAATAAAAGTAACGATATAAGAAACTGATTGAAAAGTTTGTTTCAATCTTACTGTTTTAAAATTAGGTTTCTCAGCCTGCAGAAAAACAGGTAAAGGACCTTTTTTCCTTTAATTTTAAAATTCCATCTTTTCATTCATTTCCATTTTTTATCAATAAGATGATGCTGCCCATCTTCTGTTATAGATTTTAAACAGATTTTCTTGAAACAGCTAAATACACTAGTTTAGCCATATTCAAACGATTTTTTTTAAATCTGTTTATTATCCGTTCATGAGCTATGATGCCCCGACAGACACGCATATAAATACTACAAACATACACACCTCAGTTTTCTTCGGAGATTAAAAATTAAAAGAAGTAGACACAATTAATCAAAGCACGCTTTGTTATAAAATTATACAAGAAAACATACAAAGTTAAACCTAATAACGCCATTAAACTTAAGTATTAAGTTTAATTTAGACAGTGCCCGAGCAGACCAGTCCCCACAAGCAACGTCTGTTCACAAGTATGATGCTTGTGAAAGTGGTTGGTACCGTATCATGACATCGCCGAAATCATAGACCTTGCGAGTACGACATACTCAATTCTACCATACTCTAACATGACGTTAAATAGGTAATATATATATACAATAAATAGTGATTAACACATTTTACATATTATATTTGTCATTTTCTATGGGACCATTTTACAATGATCTTGTATTAAGTAGGTATATTTCATGTTTTTAAGTATCCAGGGGCGTAGCTACCGCCGTATCAGCCGTATCAATGATACGGGGCCCCCGGGCTACAGGGGCCCCGAACGTGTGTGAGCAAAAATTTCAAGGACTCGCTCGCCAAGCGTGGTAACTATGGCAATATACCCCCATGAAAGTAATGAAGAGATGGCCCCCAGTCCCCGGCAGCCCCGCTATTCCTGGCTAAGGTGGCGACCATGGTAACAGCGGGGCAGGGGGTGCTAAGAAACTCCGGTGGAGGTTTTGTTGCCACCTACAACGACTCGACCTGGCAACTTATAACGCACGCACCCTGAGGACTGACGAGAAGATCCTGGAGCTGGAAGAAGAGATAGACAAGTTGCGCTGGAACGTCATAGGATTATCCGAAGTCTGAAGAGAGGGGGAGAACACGGTAATCCTCGAATCCGGCAATTTGTTCTATCACCAGGAGGGCGACCATCTGTCCCAAGGAGGTGTCGGATTTATCGTCCACAAGTCTCTCGTTAACAACGTTGTAAATATTGGGAGTGTGTCGACGAGGGTTGCGTACCTTATACTCAGAATCACCAAACGGTATTCGCTGAAGGTCATACAGGTTTACGCATCAACCTCGGCACACGCCGATGAGGAGGTGGAAGAAATGTATGAGGATATCTCTAGAGCCATGCATTCCTCCAAAACCCACTATACGGGATATAATATATAATGAGAAACTTTAACGCAAAACTAGGCGCAAGAGAGAATGGTGAGCTGAAAATAGGGAAATTCGGAATAGAGCAACGGAACCCAAGGGGCCAGCAGCCGACTTCATGGAGAAAGAGGGACTCTTCATGATGAACTCTTTCTTCCAGAAGCGGCCCCACAGGAAGTGGACCTGGTCGAGCCCCGACGGTTCGATAAAAAATGAGATTGACTTCATTATGACGACCAGACGACAACTTTTCAGTGATGTCCCAGTGATCGTGAGGGTGAAAACCGGCAACGATCACCGAATGGTGAGAGGCACACTGAACCTAAACGTTAAGTTGGAGAGGTCACGTCTAATGAAGTCAATGCTCCGTCCCCCCCCCGTGCTCTAATCCAAAGTCCCGAAATATTTCAGCTCGAGCTACGAAACCGTTTTCAGTGCCTAGAAGATTGCAATGCAATGGACGATATGAATGACAAGCTCGTGGAAACTGTCCATGCGGTCGGAACTAAGTTTTACAATGCCCGCTGCAGAAGAACACAAAAACTCTCCGATAACACTCTCATGGCTGTTAGACGGGATTTGACAGCATACAGGCAACTGAACAGACAGATCCCCAAATGCATGCGGCGAGACTTACGCAACTTTAATCTATAATACTGCTCGTATTAAAGAAACGATCGAGCGGAACCAAGGCTCCAAAGTCTTTGCCCGAGATCTGTCTGCCAGAAAGAGCCAACTGTCGAAGCTGAAGACCGAGTGTGGCAGCGTCGTTTCCATGACACCTTAGTTTTTGAGTGAGATTGAGAGGTTCTATCGGCAGCTGTCCACGTCATCGTTGGAGCCACACGTAAGTATGAGTAACGGGACATATAGTCTGACTAGGTAAGTCCAACTTCGACCGAGAGGTCAATCGAGGGATTCGACGCGGCTGGGCAGCGTTCGGGAAATTACGGCACATCTTCTAGTCAGGTATACCTCAAAACTTGAAAACGAGACTGTACAACCAGTGCGTGTTGCCAGTGATGACATATGGTACTGAGACGTGGTCGTTCACTGCTGGCCGGATGAGGAAGCTCAAGGTTGCTCAGCGAGCTATGGAGAGGGCAATGCTCGAAGTTTCTCTTCGTGGTAAACTTAGTATTGAGGATATCCGCAGTAGAACCAGAGTCACCGACATAGCCCAACGGATTAGTAAGCTGAAGTGGCAGTGGGCCGGACATATAGTTCGAAGAACCGGCAACCGATCGGGAAAAAAGATTCTCGAGTGGCGGCCTTGTACCGGCGGACGAAGTGTAGGGCGTCCCCCACTAGATGGAGTGACGACCTGGTAAGATATGCAGGAAGTCGATGGATGCAGGTGGCTCAGGACCGTGCTTTGCGGCATTCCTTGGGAGAGGCCTATGTTCAGCAGTGGACTTATGAAGGGCTGTAATGATGATGGTGAATAACTTAAAATCAATATATAATCATTTGAATTCAATGCAAGCGTTTTTGTTCCTTTTATGAAATCTTTACTCTTCATTGGGGCCCCCAACACATTTAGATACAGGGCCCATCGAAGGCACGCTACGCCACTGTAAGTATCTACAAAATATATAAAATAGACGTGAAATAAACTCTCTATCTATATTTTACTCTAACAGTGTCCCACGTTATTTGGAATAATTCTACTCCACGCTTCCTATAAGCTGTGTTTAATAAAGTCACAACTGATAAGCTCTCCTAAACTTTTAAGAAAGAAAACATTTATATTCCTTTTTTTTATAGTATAAGAGTGAAAAACGAGCACACAGTCCACCTGATGGTAAGTGGATGCTGTGGCCCATATAGACAGCTACATTTATCTTCGATTAAAAATCAAAATGCAGTTGCTACCTCTGTGGACTAAGATTGAATGCCTCGTTGCCAGTAAAAAGGGTCTCCGGTTCTCTACACTCGCCATACGAAACACAGCAGCATTAAGCTGCTATTTTACGCTGGTATTTTGTGAGAGTGTGGTTCTACTCCGGTCGAGCCGATCCATTCACGCTACTACCATAATATAGCTGCAGCGTGGCTCTACCACGTACCACGTCCTTGAGCCATGTTGTAATTATGCTGTGGTGACAGCTTAAGAAAATCTATCACCATTCCCGTCCTGTGGTTGAGTAAGAAAGAGCAAGGAAAAGTATGTATGACCTTCGACACATGGCGAGGCTGATTCAGCCCTGAATTGCATTACACCAGACAATAACTGATGCCGGAAACGTGGAAGTCTATTTTCAATCCAACGGTAAACCGTAGATTACGGCAAATTCCTAAATCGTCGAATACGGCGTGAAATATCGTCCTATTTATTTTAGGAATGCCTCACAGTATGTAATTACCTGGCTCTTAACACCCTTCAAGACCGTAATCCTCCCTTCAGTGCAGGCACTGCTGTTTGGCAGCAGGGTACCTACCCAGACAGACTCCCAGAGAAAAAATGAATATTACCATCTAGAAGTTGGTAAAGTCGCAGGCGTTTTACAAAAAATTTATTGCATACGAATCAACCACAGAGCGGCAAATGATGAGTCATACAAACACTTCTCCTAGAATCCCTTTTTACTGGAAACGAGACATTTCATCTTAGTCCTCAGCATCTGCATTTAGATACCTTATGGAGGATAGATGTATATGAGCCACAGGCTCCACTTACGTTCAGGTGAACTGTGTAGTCTATTGTCACCCTTATTTTGTAAAAAAAATAATAATTAAAAAACCGGCCAAGTGCGAGTCTGACTTGCGCATGAAGGATTCCGTACCATCACACAGGTTTCTAGTAAGGGAGCCCCCCTTTAATTTTTATTTGATTATTTGTTGTTATAGCGGCAACAGAAATACACATTCAGTGAAAATTTCAGCTGTCTACCTATTACGAATCATGAGATACAACCCGCTGACAGACAGACGGATGGACGGACAGCGGAGGCTTAGTAATAGGGTCCCGTTGGTTAGCCTTTGGGTACGGAACCCTAAAAAAGGTGTGCAGTTTACACGCGGTAAAAGTGAAACCTTCAAATGAAATGAAATACACACATCAACATAATCTAGGGATACCTTAATCCTAAATAATTTACGACTTTATAGTTTAAAATCTTTTTAGTTTCTAAAAAAAGTTTATTCTATTTTCAAAATTTAAAAATGTAAATAAAAAAAACAACGGAATAACAAAATACTTCGTTACGTCAAGGAAAGTTAAAATTGTTCTATGTTATTAATTAATGACAAGGCATTAGATTGTTTTTCTTTTTTAATTTTACGTGCCGTGTGAGCTTTAAGATTCATGTCATGTCGTCATTTGAGTCGAGATTTAATAAAAAATGGTGATATTCAACGCGTCGTTGCTGAGGCCCTACACAC